CCCACATAAAACCAAATGTCTGAATAAAAACTTACCAGAAGTCATTCAGAAGTGTCAGAAAAAAATTCTCCTTTAAACTCCTTCTCTGACAGGAAATGGTTACATAATTTAACAGAAAACCGTAACTTCATAATATGTTTGAACCATTCAGTGTATTTTAAAAGAAAATTACTTCCTTGCTACAAAGTCCTATAAGATATTTTAAATGTATAGCAAAGTTATCACTCTACTAAATTCCCTACATTTTCAAAGCCATAGACCTGTGCTGATTTAATCGCAATCAAATTCACTAGGACTTTTCCATAAGGGTAATCCTTAAAACCTGTTCTGGGCAGTCAGATGTTGCTCTTCTAGCTGCCCTCAGTCCCTGAACTGAGTGGGCCTGCACTGTGAAAACGCTTGCTGGAAGGATTTATTTTTAGATGTTCTTTATCTTCAGTTCCATGCTTGACTGTACAAGAGTTTAGTCAAATGCTGTTTGTACAAAAAAAAAGGCAGAAGCCTATTTACATGACTCACAAAAGCCAGCTATCTTCTGACAAACATCTAATTCCAGTCACTGCACTAGCCACGACAACTGCCATCATTACCTTATGTCATAGCAGGGTCCTGCAGGAGGGCCGTGATCTCCTCAAGGCCCCCTTCCCATGCCAAGCTGGCCCAAAGGGCACCCTCAAATTCTCGCCCTCCACGTCTTTGATAACACCACATATTTGAGAGGCTGCCTTTTACGCCCTCTCGGTCACGTCTTGCTGGTTACTCGGACCCCATGGTTTTCCAGATTCTTCGTGGGTCCTGCTCTACAATGGGTGCTTCAGGGGCACCCCAGCCTTAGGGGCTATGCGTGGCTCCAACCATCCCTTTACCACACCCCAAGCCTCGCAGCTGGAATAGACATTGTTCGGTCTGGGTCTACACCCTCTCTCTGGCACTCGGGCTCTCCATGGCCCTGTCTCTCTCCACACCCTCTCTCTGGTGCTTCTCCACAATGCCACCTCATCTCCTGGGGCTTCTCAAGTGCAGCCCCCTTCTCCTGGAGCTCTTCACTGCCCCTTTTCTCTAGGGCCTCCTCACAATAATGCTGCCCCCCTCTCTGGGGCTCACCAGTAGAACTGCCCCCCTCTCTGGGGTTTCTCAACTGCCCCTCTCTGGGGCTGGGGTCTGTGCACCCCGAATGCTGCACCCTTGCTGACGCTGGGGTTCCCACACTGCTGTGGGTCCTCGATGAGGCCTCCTCCAACCCCTATTAGCCTCACCCAAACCACCGGTAACAAACAGCAAACAAAATGCGAGCCCATCGGCTATAACTTAAACAGAAGCCGCTTGGCCATAATAACATTCAAGCCTACCCGGGAATTCTTCATTTCACAGCCATGTGAAAGCCATGTGCCTAGGAAATGACCTGCTGGGTGGCACGGAAGTGGAAAGGGACGTTGGAGTCCTAGTGGACTCCAAGATGAACGTGAGTCGGCAGTGTGACGAAGCCATCAGAAAAGCTAATGGCACTTTATCGTGCATCAGCAGATGCATGACGAATAGATCCAAAGAGGTGATACTTCCCCTCTATCGGGCGCTGGTCAGACCGCAGCTGGAGTACTGCATGCCGCAGTTCAAGCAGGATGCGGACAACCTGAAGAGGGTCCAAAGAAGAGCCACTCCTCTGATTGGAGGCCTGCAAGGAAGGCCCTACGAGGAAAGGCTAAGGGACCTTAACCTTTTCAGCCTCCCCAAGAGAAGGCTGAAAGGGAGCCTTGTGGTGGTGTACAAATTCATAATGGGAGAGCAACACAAAGTAGGTGATGATCTGTTTACCAGGGCACCCCCTGAAACAACAAGGAACAATGGCCATAAGCTACTGGAGAGTAGGTTTAGACTGGACATTAGAAAAAAGTTCTTCATGGTTAGGGTTGCCAGGATCTGGAATGGGCTTCCAAGGGAGGTGGTGCTCACCCCATCCTTGGGGGTCTTCAAGAGGAGGTTAGATAAGCATCTAGATGGGGTCATCTAGACCCAGGACTCTTTCCTGACTACGCAGGGGGTCGGACTCGATGATCTATTGAGGTCCCTTCCGACCCTAACATCTGTGAATCTATGTCAGATGCTGCTCCTTCATCAGGTCTCTCCTCTCTTCCAAGACAGAGAGCTCTACCTCCTTAGCTGCTGGCAGGGAACTGCCTTTGGCCTCAGCTCAGGTTTATAAGGGAGCCAGGCCCTGCCCCTTTCAGTCAGCTGACTGCTGGCAGGTGTGATTGCTTGCTGGCTCCCCTTGCCCTGGCAACCAAAAGCTGGGCTCTTTATTCACTGCTAGGGCTCTTTCCCCGGCAGCCTCCCCTCTTTAGGAGCAAGGCACCTAAGTGCTCTGCGACACCTGAATATTTAAAATGCTTCACTATATCTTTTGAAAGATGCTTGGACTGCTTGCTAATTCAGCAAGTAGCTTAAAATTCACTTTCATTTGTGACCGAACCCAAAATGTATGTGCTGTAGCACCCATCTAAATGACATCAGAAAACCATCCCTCCTTCTTAGCCCTCCTTGTTGAAAAGGAACATTCAGCATGACACTAAATATCTTTGCATTTGGGAGGTCCAGGGATGGGATCTCTCTCAAAGATGTTATACAGTAGATAGCAGATAGATTCGCAGGGCTATGTGGAAATATCTACAGGTGGTCTTGTGTCAGGACTGGATTTCAGGAATGTGCAGGGCTCGGGTTTGACCGCTGCTCATTCAGTGGGGGAGAAGGGAAACCCTTCTGACTAAATTCCACCAGGTGAAACCTCAGAGGCCTTTCCTCCCATCAGGGCACCTTCCTGCACATTTTTGCCCAAGAGAAGGTGATTCTTTACCCTCATGTCTTGATGGGGGGGAAAAAAAGAGAAAACCTGTAACAGAAGTAGCAATAATTCTAGCTGTCAAATTTGGCATTTGTAAATAACTCAAAGTAAAACACAAAATATTGGGCGGGGGGTGGAGATTGTATTTTGAAAAATATTTGATAGTTCTGTTTCCCATTAATCAATTCACTAAAATGTTATTTATAGTGAAACTATTAAAAACAAGTAATTGCCAAGTAATTTGTTTTGGGGATGGGTGACAGTATGAAGAGGAACGAATCTCAAAAAATGACCAGGAAGGAAAAAATACCAGGGGTAAAAAAAATAGCATTCAAGATAATGGGGATGATGTATAGTTAAACAGTCATAGCGAAGACAGCTACGCATGTCCTTTCACAGCCTTTGATGAAGTGACCTTGGGCTCATGAAAGCTTATGCATCTCTGGTTTGTAAGTCTGTAAGGTGGGTCTCTACCCAGACTTCTGCCAGTCATAGAAGAGCAAGGGTCTCTTTCTTTTATTTTTTAATTCTGATTAATCATTGGTAGTTCCATAAAGGAAAAAGGAGTATTTCTGTACAGTGTAAAATTAGAACAGATCCTCACATTCCCACATCCTTTCTAGCATTAAAAAAGGAGGTTAGTAGCTGGGATGTAACCTGTCAAAGATGACCATCCAATCTAAAAGTAGAAGAGGAAGGGTACAACAGGGAGGGCAGGTCAATGTCAGCGAAATTTCTACACCTCTTCTGGAGTAAATTGACATAGACAAAACATGTACCTGTATACAAGGATACCATACAAGACCCCAGGACCCCAGGTCCAAAATCAGATTTACAGGGACAACGCCTGGCATCCGTGCTCAGTTCTGCTGAGCAGTGGTTTGAATTAGAAACTTGACTGCTGGATCCATAACTGAAGAAAAGTTTGGGTTTGAACAGAAATATTCATTCTAAGCAAAAGTTAGCATACCCAATTTATTTTTTTTTATAAAATAGAAATAAGGGTGTACACACACACACTTTTTAAATTAATAAAACTACACTTGAAAATTACCAAAGTAAAAAAACCAAAACTTTTTTTTTTTTTTTTTTTTTTTAACAGATGGAAATTTCCTACTAATACTAACCTCAAACATCAAATTAGGACTATGGCTTGAACTTCTAAGAATTTCAACAGATATATTAGGAGTTTTAAGAAACAAAACTCATTACAGTTTCCTATCAATGATCAAATTTATCCAGTTTGGCAATGCTATGAGATTTGTTATCATAATGACATTAATTCCACTGAATTCTTCCTTGATGCATACTCCACATACCCAAAGTACACCATAATGCTGGATTTTTTTGCCTGCTTTCCTGCTGTAAACACACACTATTTTTGTCTGCTCTGTAATCCCTCCTGCACAGCAACATGAACTCATAACAGCTAGCTGGTATTACATGTGGTCTTCTTTAGGTGTATACTCTCCACTTCCCTCTGTTTAACCACTTGCTTCTTTTGCTTGGTTTAGTTGCATCAGCTCAAGTGATGCATTTGTGTTTCTCCTTAGTGGCCTAATTCTGATACCCTAACTCTGTACTGTACGTTACTGAGATCAGTAGCACTTCTTATGGAGAACAGTATGCTTTGGCCTGAGGCAGGATGGCTAATTCAGGCTCCTAGCTAGTGTTTTAGCATGCAGCACTTCTCGTGTACCATTTCCAAGTGAAATGCCAGCAGCCAATCCTGCAAATACCTCACCTTGGTTTTTAGCAGCACGAATAGCAAAGCAAAACAAGGCAAACCACTTGACAAGGTCTTTTCTGGGAATCTTTCTCAGGGCTTAATTGGCTGCTTGGAGAGCAGATGCTTTACTATTTCTTTTTTAGTACCCTTGCCACTTTGACCATACAACAACCGTAGCAGCCTACATCACAAGGCCCAAGCACACCTGTCACATCTCTTCCCTGGGGAGGAATTGAGAGATTCACCTGAATATTCTGCTTGGCATAATGATGAGATCCAATAAACCTGAACTGAAACAGAAAACAGCAGTGGTACTAGGCACAGAGGTACTAGGCTGAAGAGTAGGAGCAAGAGACCTTTATTTCATTGCATTATTGTAGGCTAGCAAATGACACGGCCAACAGTGCAGCCCCTCCAGATTTGTTAGATGTGTGTGCATTACGTATTTGTCTTCCTGGCTTTGTTCAGGGCCATGAACACTGGTGTATAATGGAAATATTTATTAATAGCATAGAAATTTGGGCTCCATTTACATAAAAATATTTCAGTATTCCTGCAATTAAATACATTGGCTTAGATTCAAGTGCATGCCTTTAAAACAGTCATGAAGGGTCAGATTCTGTATTAATTTATGATGTGCCTTGCTGTAAGGTCCTGATCTGACTTCTATGCTTATGTCAGTAAGACTCTTTTCATTAACTTCAGTGGGAACTGGAAAAGGCCCTGGTTCCTGAGTAACTCCAGTGTAAATATCAGAAGAACCTGACTTTTATGGCATAAATACAAGTTAAAATTCAGCTGTGCAGAACAAGCAAAATTAGACAGGTGTAGGTCCCAGGCACAGTGGGTGGGCAGGCTGGAACAATGTGATCGGCAGGTTGAGAGAGCTGGTCTACGCAGATGACAGAGGGCAAGTGGAAAGCTGCTCGCAGACACAGTAGAAAGCACTTGTGAGAGGCAGCAAGATAAACACAGAGGAATAAAGTTAGAGACAGAAAAACACAAACATTGTAGTTACCCACATACCCACGAAGATAGCTAAGGATAATTTAGTACCCTGTATTAGAGAAATATACTTTTAATATCCAATAAATAATACGTAAAAATATAGGCACCTGGAAAATGTAACAAGGGAGCTTTTTCATGCTACATGAAATGTATAGAAACATTGCTCATATATCATGTATTTTTACCCATATATTCTTCACACTGGATCCATAAGAGGTTAAATCTCCTGCAAGCATATAGTCACAAAACAGATGGTGCCTGTATACTAAAGGTATGTAATAAAAATCAATTCTAGGAAAATATAAACACTAATGGGGCAGGTCCTAACCTAAGCAATGGGATCTTTACACTGCTCTGAGCAAGAGCAAAAAAGTAGCTCAAAGCTCAAACATTGCACAAATTGTTATGTACTCATATATAGTTCCCACATGACTCTAGATAAAGTCCATTGTATTACAGCCCCAATTTACTGTCTTTCTGCAGGTTGCTTTCTGCTTTTATCTCAGATAACAAGACAACAAACTCTTGTCTAAGCTTTCTCCTCAAGCTCAGCTATTCCTAGGAATTATCCTGCAAGTTTTGTCTCTCAAAGCCCCTCATTCTTTCTGCTCAGAAAGATAATCCAACACACATTTTACCTTGGCTGAAGCTAACAAGGATCCACCTACTGGTATAACTGTGTGGTAATTACCTTTGTGCAGGATTCAAGCTGTTGGCGTCAAGGTGATTCAGAAAAGCTCTGCATACAGGGTCCAATAATCTGTCATCCTGCTACATGAAATGACACAGGTTTCATTCTTTGAAAAACAGACTACATTTCAGAAGAGTTACCCCATGCTCTTTTATACTGCTTACAGGAACAAGTAAGGCCTTTGGCAAGTAAAGGCATGATGGGATCTGATGTGGGATCCCCACAATTGTGCTTCCTGCCATGCCACACTTGCATGGCAGGAGGCATGATTGTGGGACCCTGCATCAGATGCTATCATGCCTTATTGCTGATGCAGGAGGAGCCTGGGATTATGATCCCGGGCTCCTCCTGCACAGGCAAGTAGCAAGTTCCCATGGCTGGAAACGCCACTGGCTGATCCAAGCTCCCTGATGCAGGGGAATATTATGAGCTCCTGCGACTGGGATCCCTGTCAGATGATAGAGGCTCCCAGCCACAGGGTACACCATATGCCTCCAAGGCTGGGACCTTTCAGCTGATGGGGGAAACTCCTGCAGCTGGGAACCCTGTCAGCTGACCCAGGCTCCCAGGTATGTGATTGTGGGATCTAGCCTCAGATCCCATCATGCCTTATGACTGGTGCAGGTGGAGCCCAGGATTATGAAGGGGTAAGTTGCAAAAAGCAATTCCCATGACTGGGAACCCTATCAGCTGACATGGGGGCACACCCCATAACTAGAGGCCCCAGCCTGGCCATACATTCAATTAATAACAGGATAGGAACCAGCCACAAAGTTATTACGCATTTTTATGTAATCATTTCGTGGTGTATTCCTTGTTTCACCATGCCATTAATTGCATTAATGTGTGGCTGGGTAACCACTTCAGATGTGATTAACTGGTCCAGCTGTCCTGGGGGCAGGGGAGGGAGCTCCAGAACCACTTCTCCCCGCTCCAGCCACTGCCACAGTTGTCACTGGTTGAACTTTGCTCCACATGCAGCTGGTGGGGGGGCGGAGGTCTGGAGCGTCCCTTCCCCCCCCCCCGCCTCTGCATCATCTGGGCACAGTGGCAGTAGCAGTGACATGCAGGGAATATGGGGAAGGATGAGAGGATACAGTAGAAGGGCATGGGGAAGGGAAGATTTTTACCTGCTTAAGGGACTTAAAAGAAGTCCTCCACTGCTGCTTCTGCATCTGCCTGCCCTGATGTGTGCAGGGAGTTGGAAGCAAAGGATGCAGCCACCCCTGAAACTCAGGTCACTGCTCCTTTATGAAATCCAGGATCCACCCTGGATCTGCCTATTTGTTACAATGTTGTTTCCTTTGTTACTGCTACTCATAGCATCTATGCTTCTAACACCTTGCCAGGCTCATCACAATACAATGTGCAGGCTGGTATGTTACAACAGTGGTTGTCAACCTTGTTAGCCCTTGTGTAGAAGAACTGAGGGAGCTCAGAGGGGAGTCTCCACTCACCCCTTTTTTCTAGCCCCTGGGAGCTGAGCTGTTTTGCTGGCACCGGCACAAATGCCCACGGTCTATCTGCCCATACTGCTTTATTTTTCTTAGAGATGGATTTATATGAGTTCCCGGTAGTTGTCCAGGGAGAAACTGTGCCCAGATTGGGCTGTGAAGTCTTAACAGTGGAAGATGGCAATCAGACTATGAAGGCCTGTAGTGGGGGTGTAAGGGTGGAGAAGTCCCTATTGTAAGGCCTTAGAGGGTCTTACCAGAGGCCATAGCAGACTATTGTCTGCGAAAGAGTAGCTCTGACGGCGGGGCCTTCTGCCTCCTTTTGGGACAACACTCTACCTAAAATTACTTATGAGTTGTGGCAGGCAAGTGTCCCGGGAAGGCAGGAGACTCTAGTTGATTCACAGCATGGGTCAAGATGTTGAGAGAAAGGCTTGACCACACCCTGCTATAATAATTAACCCCTGGTTTCCTCTTGAAACTGTGCACTCTGAATTGTTTAAACTAGTAGCTCACAACATTTTTAGGCTCAAGATACTCCTTGACAGATTCAAGGCACCCCTCAGAAAATACCACTTTTCACTCATTTCTTGACTACAGGAAAATCCTAGAGCAATTCTTCTGTTGCAAAGAACTCAGGAAGACCACACCAGGTCAGGATGTTTTTGATACTATAGATTCCTTTTTGAAATCTCTGGGTTTGCCCAACCTAACAGCAAAAATATTGCACAATACCCTTAAAAGGATCTTGCAGCGCTTTGGTTCAGAATCACTGTGTTCTACATTAAAGACAGACCAGGAGATGGTAGGTTGTACTATGCATGAGCCCAGGGAACAGCAACATGTCTAGAAATGCAGCATTCTTTCACCATTCCCTATGAGCTGTGAGGAAAAGCACCATTCCCCCTCCTTCTCCAGCTCCATCTCAACCCTTATTTTTCTCTCCCATAACTTCGGGTCGTACTCAAGTGCCCCTGACCTACTTTGCACATTAGCATGAACATCTGAAATGGCTACCATAATAGTAGAGGAATATATACTCTATTCCTTAGGGCTCAGTTTTTCCTCTGACAGTCTATGTTGAAATTGGCACTCAAGTTTTATCCATATGCTTCACATAGCTCTCTTCATAAAGCAGTAGCTATGCATCTACATCCTACTCTGCATTTTTTCATAATTTCCTACACATGTATTTTTGTTTTGGCAACTGTCCACTAAGCCAGGCATAATATTCAGGAAGTCAAGATCCCTTCTGCACTCGTCAGTATAGCTTTGGGGAAATGTTTGTATTTTCATTATTTCCCTAGTAATCAAAGTGTAATGCTTGCTTTATAAACATCTGTGGACAAAAACTCCTGTTGTAAAGAATCACACTCTAAACAGGAAGGGAAAGCATTTAAAACATCCAGTCCAAGTTTTATCATGGGAACCCATATACCCTGGAACAGGACGTTTTGTGAGTTTGACCTGGTTTCAGATAGATAAAGGGCAGGGCATCTATATGCAATAAACCTACAATATTTATTTTAATACAAAGTCTTGCTGTAATAATTGCATATTCCCCATTAGCCTAGCACCTTAAATACTCCTGACCTTTGGCCATTGTAGAAAACAAGGGAAAAAAGCTTCACCATCTCCTAGTGTTATTTACTGGACCCCCCTTGCAGCAGAGGCTTTTAAAGAGACACTGAAAGCACTTTCCCTAATAGCATGGCACAGCACCCATTCTTATTTGTCTTTTTGCATTTCAAATTCTAAAGCCTAAATTGTATCTCGTTTCCCCTCTTCCAGCTCTTCCGTGCTTCTGAAAAGAAACCTAGCAATCATCTTAACAATGGCTCTTTCTATTTTTGATGAGCCCATGAAGAAAGCTAAACTGCAGAGCTAATGAAAACCCAGCAGCCAGTCAGAACAGCTTCTTTGCTTTTTTCATATTCACCATATTCTGATTAATGCAAGTCAATCTATCCACTGAACTATGCAGGGGTGCTGAACCACACTGCTAAAGCCAACATGCAGCAGCTGTCTTCCTGTTATTTTCACCTCTTTAAAGCCTCCTGCTACCTCACCCTCAGGCTCCTATTTGAACTCTGCTTAATTCACAAAATTTAGAAAAAAAATTGACTTAGTTTAATGCCATCAATACTTCAGTTCACAGCTATTTTTATGCAATGTGGGTGAAAATCAGAGCATCTGAATCCTGGAGATCCACAGGTTAGATTGAAATCTTCCATCCAGAACAGTAAAATCCATCCATTTCTCACTAAGGCAGCAGAAGCAAAACATCCTAACACTGGAAAATGCATAGGGATTAGTATATGGTGGTGTCAAGGGAGCTGTAGAGTATATACCAGCTGAATTATGAGGTCTGCAAATAGCGTAAAAAATTCCTTTTTTAATTTACCATGGTTCAGATTCTGCAATCCTCCCTTCACTGGGCACCACCTTGCTTTCCGACTAGCTCCATTTATTCCAATGGGACTTTTTATGTCGGAAATGCAGTTCAGGAGGGTAAGCATATTGGATTCTGTCCCTGTGAGGTAAATCCAGCTTTTCCTGAGTGGCAGTTCCCCAGGAAGGGGAACTCATAGATTTGGAGCAAAGTGGTAGGAATGAGGATGCCCATGGGCTGTGGAGCTCAGTAGCTTGGAAGCCACCAAGGTGACAGTGCTCAGTTGGAAAGCCTCCTCTTATGCAAAACTTCTACAGAATTTCACAGAAAATGATCATATTTCTATGGACTCTCAGACCATCTTGTAGTTTTTACAAGAAATTGAAGACAATAGCTGAACCATCCTGCAGAAATTTCCAGCCAGGACATGAATTGCTATGAAATTCTACAAGGATTTAGCACAATTTCCATAGAACTCTGCAGAATTTTCCTGGTTTCATCCCTATTAAAATCTATAGGGAAATAGAGCCAAAGGGAAAAGTCCATATATCTTAACAACCTAACCGCTATATTGTCCAGCCATTAGGAGGTCTGAGAAGGTAAGACTGCTAAATCCTTGATCACATCAATAGTGACAATAGTCCAGGTCATGAATCCAGTAGTAGTAGGGCTAAGAAGAACTGAGAAAAAACAGGTAGGGAATTGAAAATATTTTGCACCGAGTTAAATAAATCTATTTAAGTAGTTAAAGGTTATTAGCACAAATAAAGCTTTTCAGGATTGGTGTTTTGTTTGAAAACACAAATGCAGCCAAATGGTTTGCTCCTACGCTAAACATGGGTACTAATTATATTACAACTATATTCAGAAACAGTAGTGGAGTGTTGTTAAGGATGTGTGGTGTACAGCAAGGATTTGATACCATTTTTTTTAAAAGAGATCCTTGTCCCCTCTAAGCATAAAAATGCTGTTAACATGTGTGCTAGCTTTATCCCTTTTCCCCACACAGCTGTCAAGAACAGTTTTGCTTGCATGTTTCTGCTCCTAGTATAAATAGAACCTACAATCCCTACCGGAAAAAAAACTGCAGGTTCCATGTAATATATATGACTGAGGAGCAGCAGGAAAATATTTTATCCCTAAATAATAGCTAAATAGTAAGCCAGGTTTTTAAAAAATACAAGCCTTATAAACTACACTGTAAATTCTAAAGTTTCTAAACCTAAACAAGTAGCCTGATTTTTCAAAAGTGCTAAGTATCCAATAAACACCATTGAATGTCTTGTGCTCCAGTTAAAAGAAAAAGAAACAAATTATACCTATTTAAGTGCCTGTGTGTGGATTTAGGAACCTAAATTTAGACTCCTATTTTTTCTTGGATGTGGAGACCTGAG